TGTTGAGAGGGGGGTTCCTTAATGAGGAAGGAGGGGGAGGGGGAGGATGAGGGGGAAGGGGTCCTTGAAGGTCTTTTGGTGGACAGGTGTCATCAGGATGGGGGGGGACGGTTCTTGGACAAGAAGATTTGGGAGTAGACGGGAGTGAAGGGGGGGGCTCCCCTTGTGAAGTGTAGTTCGTGGGAATGAAACTGTGAAAGTGGGGAGACCAGAGAATATGATGTTAGTAAGTGTATGTGGGGGGAAAGCAAGCACATTGTAAGGGAATGAGCTTTTCTGAAGGCTCCTCTTTGGAAGAGAGCAAGTGCTGGGTGGAAGGAGGGTAGAATTCAGTTGCTTAGAAAGCATACCGTAGTAAGAAAGGCGAATAGGCAGCAGCCAACCACTGCCCTCTGTTTTAGGGCTTTGTTTTTGGAGGTCACAGAAGAGAGCCAGTGGGGAGAGGGTGTTCTTGCAAAAAAGCAGTCAGCCTTCTCTGATGAAGGGGGGCATGTCTCCTGCATTGGCCCACTGTTGGAGAAAGGAATGGTGGTGTCAGAGAACATGGGTGGCCATGGAGGGGTGTTTGAGGAGAAGTGTATGCTTCACAGGTGGAAATGGAGATGAGGGCACTGGTCGGCTGGACCAGCACTGCCCCTCGTTCGTTTATATGGGACTGACTTTCCTTTGGTGATTCTTGAATGTTGAATATGCAATACGTGTGGAGCCATGATGACCTGGCTGGCTTCCTGGCCCCTTATGAGATGGTTACTGCTGCCTTCCGTCTCTGGGCACATCTCCTGGGATCCTGCGGTGTCAACGGCACAAACGTTGTGGAGCTCCATCGATAGCCTTAGCATTTCAAGGAATGGTAATCTCTGGAGGCGGCAGCGGAACCACGGCTGTGGAGAGCCGCTTTGCAGAGCCAAACAGTGGGCTGGTCCGATCTGCTGCAGTTCCTGGGAAGTCTGCTGGTTTGGAAGACAGCCTGGCTGATGAGGATTCACTTTCGGACGCTTTTTGGGAAGAGGAAGAGGGTTGGATCCCTTTGAAAGCGGTGTTCCACAAACCACCCGCTTGCCTTTTCTAAGATTAATTGTGAAAGACGGATTGCCTTGAATACCAAGATCCCTATGCCTCATTGTTTTCCCCCCAATTTTGAGATATAGCAAAAAGCAGAGACTGTTGTTTTCCCAAACAGACCCTCCTGAGCCCGAGTTCTCTGGTTTCTACCCTCCTGGAGTTCGGAAGGCGGACTTGAGAAGCTTCCCTGCTTCCCTTACATTTAACCATGGCTTGTGCCTTTGGGCTCTGTTACGGAGCCTGTAATTAAACAGGTCAGGCCTCTTGGCCTCTCAGCCGCACTTGATGGCAGCCCTGCCAGCTTCCAGAATGAGAGACTCACCTTAATCCTCGGTGCCCTGAAGCAAGATGTTTTAATAGCCTCTTAGGTTGTCTTTAAATTATTACTTTTGCAGCTGCCTGGTAGGCAAGTGTGAGAAATAAATGATAGATAAGAGCGCTGCTCACTCTTGACTTTTCTGTTCAGTTATTCCTTGTCTTGTTCTCTCTTTACCGTTCATGTCTTGTTCACAAAAATAGTTGTTTCAGTATAACGGGCTCTGGGTTTCAGTCTTGACATGAGTTTATTCAGTCCATCTCATGTTGTCCCTTGTGTTAAGACCTGTTAGAATCCCTGTATAAACATCCACGAACAGTGTCAGAATACGCACACATTTTATTTTCTCTTTTATCATTCTGAATCTGGAAGAGTCTGGCATGTCTGGCTAAGGAAGGCAGTTATGTAATAACCGCTTCGGTCATCTTCTGACCTTGTGTTGTGTTTGCGTGGAATTTAGTCTCTTTCCCTGAGTGAAGCCGATGTCTTCCCTGAATTAGTTGATGGACTTCTTTACTTGATTTTTCTGTACAACCTTAGAAGGATGGACGGCTGAGTCAACCTCAGTCCAGCCACCTGCGCCTGGGATTGAACTCGGGTCGTAGAGCAGAGTCTTCACTGCAGTCCTGCAGCTTAACTACTGCACCACAAGACTCTTTTCCCTAGGCTGCACCTGTCTGTCATGTAGAACGGGGATAGGTACTTTCAGTGGATCTGGAATCCAGGTTTCTTTCCTCTGTTGGCTTCACAGACCACTAAAAATGAGGGAGGGAAAAAATTGAACCTAAACGAAACTAAAAATGGACAGAAGTACCTTTCAGATTTTCAAAAATGGGTGTTTGGGGCCTGTTAAACATTGCAGGGCACCCCTGAAGCCTTTTCTGATGGCGCGTTGCTGCTAGCAGGAATGGCAAGTCCATGTCCTCTTGCAGGGGAAAGCCAGGTTTTGTTCTGATTTTGTTTAGTTTGACGCAAGGGCAGGAGCGTCTGATGGGACCGAGGTTCTCAAAAGTGTCTGGGGCTGCCCAAGGTGCACACCGTGACCTTCCCTGGTGTCTTCCCATGGGCAGTGCTGAGAAGAGATGTCAGGGATATCCAGATGTGATTTATCTGTGCTCTCCTCCCCCCTTTATATGGGGGGGGGTGCAATTGGGCACACAGCTTCCCCTTTGCTTATGTGATTGCAGCCTCTAATTAACAGGTCGGCCCCCCTTTATATGGGGGGTGCTATTGGGCACACAGCTTCCCCTTTGCTTTTGTGATTGCAGCCTCTAATTAACAGGTCGGGGCTCTACAACCGAAGAGGAGTTTCAAGTCACTTCTAGCCGTCCTGCCAGTTCCCAGGCAAAGGCTGTTCTTATGGTTTCTTTTCCCCCCTTCCTTCTTAGGAAAGGACTATGAGAACGCAGTGAAGTATTACACCCAAGCCATCGAGCTGAACCCCACCAACGCCATCTATTATGGCAACCGCAGCCTGGCCTACCTGCGGACGGAATGCTACGGTTACGCTTTGGCTGATGCCACCAAGTCCATCGAGTTGGACAAAAAATACATCAAAGGTTATTACCGGAGGGCCACCAGCAACATGGCCCTGGGCAAATTCAAAGCGGCCCTGCGGGACTACGAGACGGTGAGTAGAAACGGGGATTGGAAAGATGGGGCGATCGTGAAGTGGTTTCGCCTCTTCTGTTGTTTCGGTTAGGCAGGGGTTCCCAACCTTGGGTCCTCTCCCCCCCCCCGAGAAGTTCTTGGGGCTGCAGCTCCCAGAAATCTTGGCCAGCCTGACTCGCAGAGAAGGCTTCTGGAAGTTTTTGTTCAAGCAGGAATGGAGAAACTGACGTATATATCGGGGGTCACCTGTAAGTGCCTGGTGGCCCATCTGACCTGAGTGTCTTCTTGTGAACGTAACCAGCTCCGTTCCCTCTTTCGGCCAGGTTGTCAAGGTGAAGCCGAACGATAAGGATGCCAAAATGAAGTACCAGGAATGTAACAAGATTGTGAAGCAGAAGGCGTTTGAGCGGGCCATTGCCAGCGACGAGCGCAAGCGGTCGGTGGTCGACTCCCTGGACATAGAGAACATGAGTGAGTGGTGGCGGCCGTGGGAAGAGAAGGGGTGCATCCAGGGGCATCGTGAGGGGTGGCCTGTGACAGGGTCGCCAACAGATTAGCACCTGCGGCTGAAGCCTTGAGGAATTGCGGGCTTGGTCCACATGGGAGGGTTTTTGTAGGGCTTTACTGACACCCCATTGCTGAACTTTTCCATATTAGCCATTTGAACTGGTGTTTTGAGCATGTGAGGAGGCTTTGTCCATGTGGCAGCATTCCAGGGCAATGGAGGAGTAAGCTGGTGAAGGCAGAAATGAGCTTTTCCAGGTTCTTCTCCTAAATTATGAGCAAAAACGGCCCAGATCCCCAACTTATATAGCATCATCATTCCTGATTTGTGGGCATGCTTCCAAACGAAAGTATTGTTTTCCTGCATTTCCTGGACTAATGCATCACCTCCAGTATCTGTGAGATCTGCAGATCAAAGATTTTTCCGTTGAAGAACAGTCGTCAGAGATGGGAAAAGTTTTTTTTTAAATTTCATCCTACATTTTGCATTATTTCCACAATTGGTCAGTTTGTGCCCTTTCTGGCTTCCCATTTATGGTAAAAGACGCAGGAATCTTCTGATAGAACCCAACATAGAATAGAGAAGAAAAATCAGGATGTACAGGAAAAAGTGTTCTATTATAAGCAGTCCAATGCATTCCAGATAGAAAATAGTGTGGTGGCTTTCTTTGGGTGCTGTTAAGAAAGGACAAGAGATTTGGGTTATTCATGGAGGGTGGGACCATTTTCTTTCACCCAAATAAATTTGTTTTTTCTTGTGCCTTTGCTAGTGGGGAAGGCCATGCTTCCTGCTTCTTGTAGCATCCCTTCTTTCCGAGGCAGCCTGGCCATTCCGCTGGCGGTGACTAATGCCATTTCACACGGGTGGTTGCGCCAAGGTTTCCTGCCAACACTCAAAATAGATCCAAATCTCAGATCATAAATAGATCTCAGTGCACAGAGGCTTAATCCGTAAAAATAAACAAGGCCGTTGTTCTCAGCGGGCCAGCTGCTGGCACGAGCGAGGGCTCTTAATCCCAGTGTCTGGGTGAAGCTGCGGTGTAGTCACACCCTGAATTGGCCGGTGAAGCCTGGATTTGACATTTCTGGAATGAATCCCTTCCGTCCCTAGAAGAGTCAAAGAAGGTTGGAGAGAGGCTGAAGGGAAAGGGTAGTTAGGAAGCTGCCCCCTATTGATTCAGGCTCTTGGTCTGCTTAGCCTAGTGCTGCCAACACAGGCCGGCAGCCGCAGTGCTTCCATGGTTGAAGCATGCTTCTTTTTGAACTCTCCCTGGAAATGGCAGGGATTGAACCCAGAAGCATCTGCCTCCAGAACATGGTCTCTGCAGTTGAGTTCATGGCGTCTTAAGGCGGGCACTTCCACCCGATTTAAAGCAAAAGGCAGGCACTTGCTTTCTAATTATGGGAAGGGCATCCCGTCAAGGCAACCAGACTTTGGGGGAATTGCCTTAGCTTGAAGCCAGGCTTAAATCCTGCGCCCAGCAAGTGGCTGCACTTAAAGAGGCCCAGAAGGACCGGATGAGGCTTGAGCGTGGGGAGTGTGTAGCGCGTGTGATTTGCTCCACAAATAATTTCTGCCAGAGTGGATGCTTTAAGCACTTCCCATCCATAGCCCACCAAAAGGAGAGCCACCTTCGCTTCCTTTCCTTTGAATAAAAAGCAGAGGGAAGTCTGTTTGGGACGGTGACAACGTAGAGTCCAGTTTTCCAAGAATGATATTGGAAGCCCAAATCAGGTGTATGGAACTGGCCCCAGATACCATTCGGTGGGTGAACTGGGCCCCCAATTGGGTGGACTGATGCAGGGTGAGGGCCTTCCATTCACAGAAATAAGGTACCAGTTGGTTTCTGTCTCACGCAGAAGTCATTGCAGGGGAGGACATTAAAACGCTGGCATCCCCATAGCGTGGTGTGGTTTGTGGAAGGTTTGCAGACCGCTAAGGTTGAGAAGCGCAAGCAGCTTCTCCGTGAAATCTTGTGCGGCTGCACCTCAGACGAGACGCCTCTCGTGCAAAGCTGGCCAGCGCCGTCTCTGGCCTCTGCGTGCTTCCCCTCTGCCTGTCCCGTCTCAGCCTCTTTGCCCCCTTTATTCCCGCAGCCATTGAGGACGAGTACAGCGGCCCGAAGCTGGACGACGGGAAGGTGACGCACGAGTTCATGAAGGAGTTGATGCAGTGGTACAAGGATCAAAAGAAACTCCACAGGAAATGTGCCTATCAGGTACGTCTCTTCCCGGGCCCCTCAGGAGCTGCCGCAAGCAGGATTCGAAGTCAGGGCACAGGGTCAGGGACAGCTGTCTGTACATCGGTCTAGTGGCCCAAGCGAGGAGGAAGGAGCCACCCTGGCCTGGGCCATGATCTCGCCAGAACGCCATCAAAGCTGCCTTCAGCGTTTTTAAGTAAAAGAGTCATCTTTACACTTGGTACGTAATCGAAGGCACATTTTACAGAGACCACGTATTCCAACAGACCTCCATCACAGTGGCTTCCCGTTATTGATCACAGGCACGTTGGATTCCAGTGACTGATTTTGTTGAGTGCCTCTTCCCTCATCTTTGTGACTTTTCCACAGCATATGAGGGCAGAGAATTCCCCCCACCCCACCCGTGCTGTTCACAGGGCTTGAGCAGCCGCTTTTCTTTCCGGCCATCAGGAGAATTTATGAAGCTGGCAGTCTTGATAACTAGACATCCCCATCCGGGGATCTTTGGCTTTTTAGCTCTTGGGCATCATGACTCACATGCTTTCCTCCTCTCCCCACCAGCTTGGCATTTCTAAAAAAAGGAGTGATGTTTATTTTAGCAAATGTAACAAAAGCCGTCACCAGGCGTGCTGTAAGTGTGTGTATGCAACGCACAATCAGGGGTGCACAGGAAGCATTGTAGTGTTATATCGGTGTAGACTCTTCCCTAGGGCCACAGCACGTGGCTTCTCCTCCAGGTTCTACTGATGAGAATGGAGCACAGCTGTGGTACAACTGCAGCACCCCGACTGAGGGCTATTCGCCCTTGGAGGTTCGACTGGCACTAGTGTGGATTTCCTTTTGGTCCCAAGTTGAAATGTCCCTGTTCTGCAGGGGCTTCGGGTCTTAGAGGGTGTGGTTTGATTGAGAGGTGTAATCATGTGTACGGCTTTAAGTTGTTTAGAATTTAAAAAATTCTCTTACCTGCTCTACCTGGCTAGGTCTGAGATAATTTCATACGTGTTCAGTTGTTTAATGTTTTGCCTTGTAACTGTTGTGAGGTCTTATAATAGAGAACAGGATATTCCAAATAAATAAATATGGACGTGTTTATTGAACATTCACCCCCACCAAAACAAAGAGAGAGAGAGAGACTCCTCTTTGCTCCTCCTTAACTTCTTTTATTTCACATTCACTTTCTCTTCTTCTTCCTCCGCTGGCTTGCTTTTTCTTTCCTGTAGATCTTGGTGCAGGTGAAACAGGTGCTGTCGAAACTCCCTACCCTAGTAGAAACAACATTAAAAGAGGTGAGTTTGTGTCTCTTTGGTTTTAAATCAGAAAGTGTAGGCCCACCCTTGATGCCCTCCTCCTTTCAGAACTCTTGTGGCTGTTGGGCTGACGCCTTAAAGGGAGCGGTTTCTGTCTTGTATCTTCCAGCCTTAAGAAGTGTCACTTGCTACTTGCGGGCGGATAGGTTTGTGGATCCGTTGCTGTGAAAAGCAATTTTTTAAAAAAAAGAAAACCCGTATGCACCAAAACTTAGCAAAGCAATTCTGGCATAAGCTTCTGTGCATTATACTCGGACCTGATGACGTGGGCTGTGGTTCGTAAGGGTTCGGGTGGGGACAGACTCGTTGATCTTTTAAGGTGCCACGAGGCTGGTTCTTGTTTTCATGTCCTGCTTGTTCCTTCCGTGTTCAAGCCAGGTTAGGCGTCTTCCCCTACCCTGCCGTGCATTCTTGTTAGTTTGGTCTCTGCTTCCTTTTGTCATGACCCAGTCAGTGTTTCCATGTGCTGCAACATCAGCACAAATTTATGTATCCACATGATGGAGCTGAACCGTCATGGCTGCTCCTGTTGTTCCGGAGGAAAGGCTAGAAGAGTTCATAATGTTTGGACTGGGCTGCGCCATGTCTGCAGGATCAAAAAAAAAAAAAAAAAAAAAAAAGAGAGTTCCTGTCTGCAGGATCAAAAAAAAGCCAAATCCCATGTGTCTGCACAGGTAGGCCATCTTCCGATTGAGGGGCCTGCGAAGGGCCATGGAAGTTTTACCTTGCTGGATCTTTTCCCCCCAGCCTGGGACCCAGCCCTCAACCCACATAGCTACCTGGGGATTTGGGACATTGTAGTCCAGCCCCTCGGGAAGGCCCCAAATTTGAGGAGGCTTGTCTTAATTGTAGTCCATTTGCTCAATGTCTGAGAATTTAGTGTAGTCGCTGTTTGCCACTGTTGGTTATCCTAGTGGGGGTTTAGGGAAGGGAATGACTTGGAATTACAGATAGCAAAAGTAACAATGATTAAAGGTAGGTGAGTAGAGGTAATGGCAATTTCTGAGTTAACCAGTTTCATTATAAATAAAGCAATCCATAATCCCCAGTCCTCATTTTGTAAGGAACTCATAGCTGAATCAGGTTTAAAACAGCCAGCAACCGAAACTAAAATACTGGCAGTTGAGCATCTTCTTTTACGTTCACCTTACAAAAATGGACCAATGTCATTGGAAAGGTTACAGCTCTTTTTGTATTATCGAGATTCTTCCTGAAAATATAGCTGTTTGCTTTAGGCAGGATACACCAGAATTTTGTGGATCTCACAGAGAGAAAAGGATAATCTAGCCATTATTATCTTGTGAACCAGCCTGGGGTACCTAGTTATCATCTGTTTGCCCCACTGAAATGGGTTTTGTGGATCTCACAGAGAGAAAAGAAGGATAATCTAGCCAATATTACCTTGTGAACCAGCCTGGGGTACCCAGTTATCATCTGTTTGCCCCACTGAAATGGAAGGGGCAGAAAAAAGTCTCCAGCAAGAGTTACATGAGTAACTGTATTTGGCTTTAGCTTTATGCTTCTCTCCCCCGCCCCACCTCCTGCTGTCTTCTTCTGCCTTCTCCTCCCTCCCACTTCTTCATTCCAGACAGAGAAAATTACTGTCTGTGGAGACACCCACGGTCAATATTACGACCTCCTGAATATATTCGAGTTGAATGGGCTGCCGTCGGAAACAAATCCATATGTATCCTTTCCTGATTCATCCCTGTGTGTTGCTGCTGGAGGCTGTCCTGGTCTGTGTCTCCCCTTGGATGTAAGGAAAGGTAATCAGCCTAGACTCCTTGGAGGAAAAGGAGGGAGCGAGTCAAAAAGAGGAAACTGCAGGAGTTATGATGGGAAAATAGTGGTTCCTCTTTCTCCATAGTTCCCTTTCTCTGTAACATGTCAGAAAGCTGGCTTTTTAAAATCTTCAGGAGCAGAAACAGGATGAACTTCACTCTGTGTTGTTGGATTGCAACTCCTCTGAGCCATAGCCAGCGGGGACAACTTTATAATAACAACATAATAATTTCAGAACTGCAGAGCTGGGAGGCACAACCACGAGTCGTGCGCTTGGAGCTGGATTATTTGAGAACCAAGATGAACCCCTTCCTCGCCCTCTTTTTGCTCTGAAGGCCAAGCTCTTCTGGTTTCCTTTTGTACGAGCATTTCGTTCACTCTTGCACTTGCTTCATGAGGTCTGGTGACATGCCTAGCCTTAACGTACCTTAGCTAACCACCAGGTCCCACCGTTCCGTTCCTTGGTTTGTGTCCCTCTCGGTTTCTTTCCCAAGAACTGTGGATGTGGCACACTCAAGAAGGAATGGCCTTTCACGGCATGGAGTGGGAGAAAGGGGGCGGGAGAGGGAGGAGGAAGGAGGTGCCCTCAGGCTGTCCACGAAAGGACCGTGTTCTCGATGGGACCTTGCTTTTTCTTCCTTGAACCCAACCGTTGCAGATATTCAATGGAGACTTTGTTGACCGTGGCTCCTTCTCCGTAGAGGTGATCTTAACGCTCTTTGGTTTTAAGCTGCTATATCCAGATCATTTCCACCTACTTCGAGGTAAGGGGCCCCTTGCCCTAAATAGCTTCTCAGGGGCGGGGGGAAACGGGGCAGAGAACCTCCTTTTTTTCACCTCTCTGTCTGCCTGATACAGATTTCTGCACCAAGCGGCAACCAAGCTGGCTTTTTTCAAATTCTGTCAGCCTTGTTGGGCCCCAGTACCTGGTCACAGAAATGCTTTCTAGATGGAGCAGTTCTGTCTGCAAAATGCAAGCCAGTTCAAGTAGAGAGAGTGAGAGAGAGAGAGAGAGTGAGAGAGAGAGATTGTTTTAGCGTGTGTGTTAACCAGCTCCCTTTTGACCACTAGGGAATCATGAGACGGACAACATGAATCAAATCTATGGGTTTGAAGGTGAGGTCAAAGCCAAATACACGGCTCAGATGTTTGAACTCTTCAGCGAGGTCTTTGAGTGGCTACCTCTGGCTCAGTGCATCAACGGGAAAATCTTGGTGAGAGGGCTGTGGGTGGAATGGGCCAGTGTGGCGGGGACCGAGGTGTGTATGTGTGTGTGTGTGTGTGTGTGTGTGTGTGAGAGAGAGAGAGAGAGCGCCTTCTTTGCTGTATGTCCTTTCGCCTTTGCTAATCCCGGCCATCCATTCTCCTTCGGCTCTCTCCTTCCCTCCCTCCACCCCACGGTAGATCATGCACGGTGGGCTCTTCAGTGAAGATGGTGTAACATTAGATGACATCCGGAAGATAGAGCGGAATCGGCAACCTCCAGATTCAGGTGAGTAGCCCAGAGGCACCGTCAAAACCCAAACATTAGGGGAAAGCATGTCATGGTGCTTTGGGGGGCAAATGGTCTTGTTTTCTAATCAGAACAAAGGTGGCACCGTATCGAGGAATTTGCAATATAGATTTTTTTTTGCTTTTTCCACCCTTTTTCCTTCTGTTGAAGTACTGCAAAGTAAGTACTCGGGAGTTCCTGTTGGGGTCAGAATAAGTCCCGAATGCACGTAGAACAAGTTATTAATTTCTTTTACCATGCTGAATGAGGATTAATTAAAGATAATTAAATTTACAGCCGTCAGAAAGGAAGTGAAAGAGAGAGGAGCACCTTCTCTGCGGTGTGAATTGACTTTGTTGACACTCTAACCCTTCACTTTAACAGGTCCCATGTGTGACTTACTCTGGTCAGACCCACAACCCCAGGTAGGTCCTGCTTGGTGTGTCCCCCGCCTTTGACCCGCATGCCTTTCCCCTCCTGGTTTGCCTCTTTGGTCTCGTCTTGAGTTCTGTGCAACAGTTTCTCCTGAAACAAAGCAAGTTTTTGATCTGCCTGTAGAACCAGCTGCTTTACCACCACCAGCTCCTCCTCCTCCATCTCCAGGTTATTCTTCATAAAGCTCTAGTACCTTCTATGCCTGTTCTCCCCTCCCCTCCCCACCCCAAGTTCTGAGTATCTGGTGGTCCTCAGAGGAGCCCGTCCCCATCCAACCCAAGCCATGACCTTTTGAAAACAGAGGAGCCGGTGCTTCATCACAGGGCTTATTGGGGGGAGGGGAAGTTCCAGAACAAAAAGGGACATCAGTGGGGCCCATCTGGGAGCATAAAGGGGAGAGAATCCCAGGTCCTGGGTGTGTTTCCATCCTTCTCCAACTCAGGCTGCGTTGGTCAGCTGTTCACCGGCTAGGCTCCTGTGTGTTCCTCTGATTCAGCTTCAGTAGCAGCTCTTTGAAGGGAGGAAAGCTGATGACCGAAACCCGGGTTCCACAAAAGCCATGGAGAAGAAAGGGAAGCTGGATGTCCCGGTCTTTTGACCAGCCGGCCCTTTCCAAACCCAACACCTTGCTTCCTTTGACCCGTCTGCATTTCCCCCCCTCCCCTTCTCTGTCTCCTCCAGAACGGCCGGTCCATCAGCAAGCGCGGCGTCAGCTGCCAGTTTGGACCCGACGTCACCAAAAGCTTCCTGGAGCGCAATCATTTGGACTACATCATCCGCAGCCACGAGGTTAAGCCCGAGGGGTACGAGGTGGCCCACGACGGCAAGTGCGTGACTGTCTTCTCTGCCCCAAACTACTGGTGAGTGAGCGACGGGGTGCGCCCACCTGCCAAGCATGGCCCCTGTCCTGTTCGCCTGCCCCCCCTCCCGCTCCATCCCCATTTGTGATAGGAGGCATCAACTTCCTTCTCCTGTGTGACTTACTCTGTTTTGGGTCTTCTGCCCCCAGTGATCAGATGGGCAATAAGGGTGCCTACATCCACTTGAAAGGCTCAGATCTGCGGCCGCAATTCCACCAGTTCACAGCAGTGGTGAGTCCTTGTGTGTGTCCCCCCCCCCCCCGCGGGCGGCTT